AGGCCCCACCTGTCGCTCCTTGTTCTTTGTAAGTTGCCAGTAGGACTGACAGCAAGCAAGACACACATCTAACTCCTCCATCACCTGACACTAGGCTCCCATGGGGGAGCCTTGGCAGTATGGTTCTGTCCCCAGTGGAAGCTGCAGGCACTCAATTGAAAGGAAGTTGTCCTCAACACAACCACTTCTCAAATCACACCCCAGCAAATCCAGCTGTTTTAGTCCACTTTTTTGCCACTGTGACCAAGAGATCCGACAAGAACAGTTTTAAAGGAGGAACAGTCGATTAGGCACTCAGAAGTCTCAGTCCAGAGGCAGCCGGCTCCATAGTTGGAGGCCAGAGAGGAGGCAGAACATCATGGCAGCAAAGTGCAGAGGAAGAAAGCAACTAGTGACCTCACTTTGGGAAGCAGAGAGAGAGAGAGCTGTGCTCACAGGGACCAAACATAAACCCAAAGGCACACCCCAGTGACCTACTCCCTCCAGCCATACCCAGTCTGCCTACAGCAACCACCCAGTTAATTTATGTCAGTGAATCAATCCATTGATTAGGTTTGTGCTTTCATAACTCAATCATTTCACTTCTGAACTTTCTTGCATTGTCTAACAAATGAGCTTGTGGGGGACACTCCATATCTAAATCATAACTGTGGGCCCCAAAGGCTCATGCCCATCTCATAAAGAAAAGTACACTGAATTAATTTTCAAGAGTTCCAGGGAAGATGGTGGAACGAGATGGATGTTATTACTCTAGGTACGGGTATGACTGCACATACGGTGTGGCGCTGCGTCGTGCACAGAGAAATGAAAAGATGTGCTACAATTGTGTACAGTGAGTAAAAATGCATTCTGCTGTCATATATGCCTAATTAAAATAAATTAATTAATTAATATTAAAAAACCCCAAAGAGTTCCCACATCTTAACATTACACAAAAGTCCAAGTCTGAAGTGACTTCTGAGACACCAGGCAAATATCCTGCATGTCTGCCCCTATAAAAATCGGAAGTAGGTTACACATGTCCACTATACGCTACCACAGAGTACACATGTTTATTTCACAAAGGAGAAACAGGGGCATAGAAAGAAGGGAAGGGACAAAGCAAGGCTGACATCAGCCAAGAACACAAGTTCTTGAGCTCCATGTCCGGCACCTGGGGCTCAGGGTGTGGGGTCATGTAGCTCCGCCCCTGCCTTCCAGTTGCAGCCCACCGTCCTCTCTCCTGACTTGTTGCTGCTTAGTGTTGCAGCGCGCCCCAGCCATGCTTGTATCTCTAGGTCTCAGGGGACTGCCCTGAAACCTGGGCTGCTTTGTCACATCTTCATAGGTCACCTTCCCAGAGGTCACTGGAGGGACTCGGGTTGGGTTGTGTTTTTCCTGGCCTCCTAGGCCTTCCTTTGATTGGAATTTCAGTGAAAACCTCTAGGACCTCCTAACTCTAGCATCTTGCAATCCTGCGGAACCAGCAGCATGTGGTTGATGCCAAGGTCGGTCACCATCTTGAGTAGTCACCGGGCCTCCAGGCAGCCTCTGAGTGCCTGGGTGATGGAGCACAGTGAAACAACCTGTGCAAGCAGGGTACCTTTCTGGTCTCTTCTCAAAGGCATTTTTACTTTTATACCCTTGAGCCTGAGATGGGTGCGGCCTTGCCAGTCCCGGAGGTGCCCTCAAATCATCTTTCCCAGTCTCAGGGTAAAGCATTCAGCATTTCTTTAATAGTTGTCATTCGTTTAAAAACCAATTTCCTTAAACTGTTTCACTTGCATTTCTCTGACCACACTGCAAGATTTTCACATCTTTCTGCTTTGCTTTCTGCTCCTGATTATCATTGTGAACTTGGCTAAAAACCATCCTACAATACCAATGTCACTGCCTGAATACTGTTGTGCCTTGAAATTTTCTCTGCCAGGTGAATTACTCCATCACATTTAAGGTCAGCTTCATAGAAAGTCTTAAGCTATGGAAAGAAGGTAGACAACTTCTTTGCCATAACATGAATGCCCTCTAGTTCAATTTCCAATAGTCTTCCTCTTCTGAAACCCCATGAGCCCAGTCTTTACTGTCCACAGGGCTATTAGCAGTCCAGCCTTCAGGGCTCCTACCAGAATCACCCACGAAGTTTAATTTACACCAATTTAAAAATTTTCCAACTTGCATCTCTAAAGTTGTCAATGTTCCTTGCTTGGCAAATCTGTTCTAAAGGCATCTGAACCACATGGTTAGCTTGAGACACTGACAACCCTACTATGGTTTGGATGTGAGGTGTCCTCCAAAAGCTCAAGTGTGAGACAATGCAAGAGGGCTCAGATAAAAAATGATTGGGTTGCCAAAGCCTTAACACAATTAGTGAATTAATCACCTGATCAAGTTAATTGAGTGGTAATTGATGGCAGGTGGGGTGTGCAATTGATGGAGGTGGGGTATTGAGGGCATCACTTTGGGGTGTATCTTTCTATCTGGCATGTGAAGTTTCTCTCTGCTTTCTAAACATCATGTGAACCTCTTCCCTCTGCCACATGCCAGGTTTTTGTTTGTGACTAAAAGGCAGGGGTTACTCCAGTTGAACTGGGCTAACTGGGCTGCACGAAATAACCAAGAGACACAAATACCTTTTTGTTTGGGGTCACTGTGACGGCTCCTCTGACCTTAAGGGTCCACAGGAAGTCAAAGAGAGAACACGCACGCACACACGCACGCACGCACGCACTGACCCCTTTTATTGAGGAGAAGCTATTTAAATGAGGCCAGGGGTCAGGTTTCAGGGGGCTGAGTCTATCTTCTGGAAGTCCGCTGTCAGCAGGTTGACTGACACTTGGGTAGGCCACACCCAAGGGCACAGTAAGAGGAGGGGACACACACAAGGCACTTCCATGGAAGATTCTATCCTAAACAGGGCAAGGGGTTATATTACAAAGGAACAGGTGAGCGTAGCTCCACCCATGGAGCTGTAGCAAGACACACCCATGCACGAGACACCAACCCTTGAACCCAATTAGGGTGGAGAAAGCTCTGCCACATTTCTGTGACTGAACGCCTCAGCACCCAGTCGGGGAGTGTGACCCAGTCATGGGCAAGGTTGGTCTCCCACATCCACACTCTTCTGCCATGATGTTCAGCCTCACCTTGAGCCCTGAGGGATGGAGCCTGCTGTCTGTGGATTGAGACCTTGGAAACCATGAGCACCCCCTAAAAAAATCTTTTCCTCCTCTGCAGTTGTTCTGGTTGAGTATTTAAGTCATAGCAGAAAAAAAAAAACCTGACTAAAATAAACCCCAGTTCTTATACCGATTTCTGTAGTCCACTTTTTCTTCACTGTGACAGTTTCACAGGTCTCAGTCCATGAATGCTGACTCCATAGCTCTGGGCCCAGGGTGAGGCAGAACAGGCATGGAGAGGAATGCTGCATAGCACATGGTGAATAGGAACCCTGTCTGCCTACAGCTTCCACCCAGTTAGCCCACATCAGTGGGAGGACCCACTGAATCCGCTAAGGCTCTCAGAACCCTACCACTTGACCTCAGAAAATTCTTTCACTGTTTAATGCATGAGCTTTGGGGGAATACCTCACACCCAAAGCATAACCCGCCCTACGTGGGTCTCCAACCTGTCCCAGGCCTTGGGCTCTCCTTACTCAAGGCCACTTGACTGACCCACACCTCAGACCAACTTAAACCACTCTATACTTTCTTCCATCTAAAAAGGGCATTAGCCTTGTATAATTATTCTAGAATCAGACATTTCAAATATTTAAAGTATACAAATCAACGGTTTTGGTATATTCAGAATCAACATATCTATAATCACTATACATTTTAGAAATTTTTCTTCACCCTGAAGAGAAATCTTGTACCCATTAGCATCACTGTTCATTTCCCCCAACACTTCTAACACTAGGCAATTAATGAGCTACTTTATGTCTCTATATTTGGTTATTTTAGATGGGTGGAATTGTGTACAATGTAGTCTTTTGTGATTAGTTTCTTTCAGTTTGCAAAATGATGTTTTCATGGTTCATGACGCAGCACATATCATTAGTTCCTTGCTTTTTGGTAATTACTATTTCATTGTACAGATATACTACATTTATTGATAAAAAATTTTTTAAAAATAAAAAGGGCATTAATGTCCCTCCACATGTAAAAGAATTATTACCTACAAAGCTCTTTAACATTTACTCTCCCATCTTTAAATAATTTAGATCTTGCCTCCATCAGTGAAGGTTTGCAGACATGTGAGAGGTGCAGACTCCCCTGGTATCCACTAATCATCCATTGCCCCGTGGTCCAGGCATCTGCTCACCTAATAGAGGATGTGTGGGATTCTGATCCTTCATCAAAACAAATCATAAAACATGGGTGAAAAGAATCCAGAGGATCTAACAAGTGCTAAATCCAGAGGCCCAAAGAACCCCATGGCTTAGTATCACCAATAGAGCAACACATAAGGTGAACGGCCCATGTGTTGGTCAAAGGAACTGGCTGGCCTACAGATGAGGCTGAGCTCCAAGCTCACACTGCTTGTCAGATGACAGAGACCCGTGAACATGAGATCCATGCCAATTCAATCCACTGAACAGAAAGAACACAGTTCCACGTGCCAGAGGACACACCATGACTCAGGAGCTCACTGCAGGAGGTGATGTTTACTCAGACGGTGTGTTCTCAGCTCTCCATTACTGGGGTCAAAACACCTGTGACACTCAACTTGAAAAGAGAAAAGGTTGACTTTGCCCTTGGGCCTGTGGTGAGACAGTACATCATGATGGGAGGATGTGGCAGAGGAAGCTCCTCACCTCATGGCAGCTAGGAGCCAAGAGAAAGACAGGATGAGGCCAAAGGAACTGGCTGGCCTACAGATACCGACAGCAGCAACTAAGGTCAAAAGTGCACAGGCCCCTTCTTCCTTCTCTGTTGATACCAGGGGTTCTCATGTTTGCAAGTTGGCCTGTGCTGATCTGTTCTCCTAGATTGTTTTGATCACCATAACAAAGTACCACAAGGTGGGAACTGAAACAACAGGAATTTATTTTCCCACTATTCTGGATGTGAGGAGTCTAGGATGAGTGGCAGCACGTTGGATTTTTCTTGGGCTTTCCTCCATGACTGGAAGGTCACCTGCGCAGTGTGTCTGCACATAGGGCCTTCTCTGGGTGCTCCTGCTCTCCTTTCCTCTCCTTGTAAGGACCTCTGTCACATTGGGATTGGATCAACCAAATGGCCCCATTCCCCATCGATCCACTCAACCCAGGCATTGTCTGTAAATACAGTCATGTCCTAAAGTCCTGGGCTTCAGGAGAGCAACACAAAACTTCAGGGGGATATAACTCAGCCCGCAGTGCCCAGATCAGGTAAAGTCCTAATTCCCTGCAAAACACAGTCTGCTCCACTCCCAGCCCTCGTGGAACTTTGGGAAGAGGCCACCATTCTATATCACGTCAGGGCATTTGCAGCATTTCCCAGGAGGTACCTGCCCCAATGCAGTCAATACCTCGCCTCCAGAGAAAGGACACCTTACCATGAGGGACATTCTCTCACCCTGTCCAGGTCACCAGCAAGAACTCCTGTCTGCAAATCTGACCTCCATCTCCATCCATTCATGTGGGTTACATACAGTCCTCACTCATGCTTATGTTCTTCCCTGACTTACACTGTGTATGCTCCAGTAACATAATGCAGAAACATGACTTCCATCTCAAGATGTAGAAATGTGGAATTGCTCATTTGTGCTTGCTTTCTCTTTCCCCATTCTCTCACTCTGGCTGTGTGTGTGTGTGTAATTTCAGATATAAATTAGAATGTGCCATATAGATGCAAAACATCAGCATGGACAATACTCAGAGGGATGATTCAAGGGCTGCTAGATGGCCAGGAGAAGCAGGAGCTGCTGCCAAGCGGGCTGCGGAACATGTCCCAGCAGACTGCTCGGTGAGGCTGGCAACAAAGCCTGGACTTGCCACCAAGATCCTCCTCAGTGCGTCCTGGCTTTGCTGCACAGCCCGGCAAGTCCTGTCCTGCCCTGGAGCTTGGGCCAGTCCACTGGGCCAGGGGCTGGCTGGACCGTGTTGGGGCCCAGGAAGCAGAGCCCTTGGGACAGAAGAGAGGTGGGCTGGGGTCAGGGCAGAGGGAGGCTGGTGGTGGGGCTGGCACCCTCAGTGCGCAGATGTGACTAGTTGACAGGCCGAAAAGTGAGGAGGGGACAGGAGGCGGGTCTCAAAACGAAGTGGTACACCAGCTTCACATCCTCCTGGACTAGTGTCTCCACCTGGAAGGATTTCAGCACCTAGGACAGAGGAGGGACTTCCCTGTGGCCTGGGCAGCAGGCCCAGGTCCTGCCTAGTCTCCTGCCCAGCTGCTCAGTGCAGCCACCAGGCTGCAGGGAGCAGGAGCCAGCGCACCCAGGTTGGCGGGGTAGTGGGCACAGGACCCGCCCTCAGGGAAGACCCCGCCCCGTCACGTACACACGCCAGTGGTGAGGGTTGGGGGCTGCTCACCCCGCTCCATGACCCGCTGGCCCCTCCTGGTTCCGCTCACCCCCAGGCACCACTGACACCCTTCTGCTGAGCCCCTCCCAGGCCCACTCACGTGGTGCAGCAGAAGCAGCATCTCCACCTCTGCCAAGCGCCGGCCCAGACACTGGCGCACCCCGAAGCCAAAGGCCAGATGGTGGAAGGGCAGTTGGCTGTCCAGCCAGCGTTGGGGGATGTAGCGCTCAGGATTGGGGAACAGCGCGGGGTTTCGGCCCATTGGGTACAGATGCATGTGGACCAAGGTCTGCGGACAGGTGTACAGGGAGGTGTCAGCTGCCTAGCGAGGGGATGTGGGAAGGGGCCATCTGCTGGGGTGGCCTTCGGGGCTCACTCACCCCAGCTGGGATGTGGTAGTTCTGAAGCACCAGATCTGAGCTGGTGGTTCGCTCCAAAATGCTTCCTACTGGGTAGAGCCTGGGGGTAGGACACCAACAGGCAGGGCCTCAGGGGGACAGCTCCCTCCTCTTCCCTCTGTCTGCTGCCCACCCAGGACCCCGAGGGTGCGGCAGCCCTGCTCACAGCATGTGCTTGCTTGCACCTGCTAGGCTCAGTGAGCCCCCAGCAGCCTGAGCAGCCGGGCCCAGGAGGACGTGGCCGGTCGTGCATGGGACTTGGGAGTGCAGTCCCAGAGGAGAGGGGCACCCCTCCCTTCAGGCAGAGCAGGAGGAGCTGAGGGGCTCTGGGTTCTGAGGCAAAGCTGCTCATGCCTGCCTCCCACCTCCAGTGAGCAGAGGGGCCAGGGCCGGTGGGGAGGGCCAGCCAGCACCTACCGCAAGGTCTCCTTGAGGGCAGCCCGCAGCAGGGGCAGCTCTGAGGGGGCCCTCTGGGGGTTTGCAGAGATGCTGGCCTCTGCTGCCAGGCTCTCCTGGCGTAGGGCCTCCTGCACATTGGGGTTCCGAGCCAGCTCAAAGAGCGTCATCACCAAGGGGAAGGCTGTCTGCAGGAGCCACGGGGACAAGGCTCAGACCACGGCACTGGCCAGGCGCCCCAGCCCCAGGGCACCCCTCCATGAGGACACCCTCCCCTGGAGGGGAAGGGCGTGCCCCGAGCAGCACAGAGCCCTGGCACCCCACAACTCCAGACACCCATGTCCCCCGACTCCTGCCCTAGTCCTGAGGGAACGACCTCTCGGGGCCCAACCCAGGCCACCTCCTGCTGTCTCCTCAGGGTCTGAGTGGCTCTCACACCCTGCTCCATGGCCCTGAGGGGTGACCGTCTCCAGGAGTCACAGGAGCTCTGCAGCCCTTGTCCATCTGCTGTGTTCAGACCCCTGTGACAAGCCTCACTGTCCCACCCTGAGCAGGCCTTCAGACCCCAGCCAGGTCCTCCTCCTGGACCGTTCCTGGTACTCCAAACATATCTGCAGCCCCAGTTTGAGATCTGCGGCTCCGAATCTCCAAAATGACTCCTTCCAAGGTACCTCTACAGTGTCCTGAGCCTCAGAAATGAATTAAG